CCGTTCTAATCCTGGAATAACAGTTCAAGAAAAAGATATGCTCCGAAATTCACCCAAAACACAATATCAACCTAGCACTATAGGCATTGAATTCGTCGCGGAGACGAATTAGGGGATCTGCCGCTCTGGTCGAAACATAACACGTGTAGGAACTCAATGGGAGTTTTGTTTAATTCTTAAAAAGCTTATATAGTTATCAAGGATCAAGAGCCCCTTTTCACCTCTGGTAATTTACCTTTCAATAATGATCCGTGCCCCTTTTCCTTTCTAATAAGGGACCTATCCCCTTTTCACCTCTTATAAATGCCCCTATCGAAATCTGATGGGTGCCCCATTTCCGTTAGCAAATGCCCATTTCCCATTCTCATAAGTTCCCTTTTTCATCCATGGCGAGTGCCTCTTTCCAGATATAAGAAATGCCTCATTTTCACCTTTGATAATTACCCTTTGTACTTTTCTTTTCTAATAAGTGTCTTAATTTATCCCTTTCGATAAGTGTCCCCTCTTCCTCTCATCATTAAACGTGCTCCTACTTCAAAGCAAGTAAGAGTAATTTACCCCAAAGCTCGCTCGCATTTGTAAATGATATAATTATGCTACTTATCAAAGGTCATTTCAGACTTATGAGAATTATGAGAATGTGCTCATAACCCCATCAGGATTGTCCCCCCCCCCCTCTTTAAAGGATGTAATTTTTCGCACTGCGACCTCACAAATCTTTAAAAATGTCCTCGTTCGCTTTCAAATGAATATATAGACATCACACCCAACTGCATAGTACAATGCTTATATTTCAATATTTGTTTCTCTTTATTCATCATACAATTATTGCTTAAGTTTAAACGTTGGCAGTTTCATATTCTTCAAATTAAGCAAGGGAACCTATTTACTTTCTAGACTTCTCTGTCAGACACTGTTGAGTGACTGACTGACTTCCTTTTTTTTCTTTGGATAAAATGAGCTGTAAAATTACATGAGCATTTGTCTACATCAATAACCCACTTCTTGTAATGGCCAAAATTAAACTGATTGAATCTTTGCGCAGTAAAAACCATACGACTATTCGGTACAAGGGTCTGAAAATCAGATTATTACTAAATTGATTGCAATCACTAAAGTCGATTCGACAACTGATGCTCGTTATTTTCCCACTAAAAGACATTTTCGAGCCCTTTCGTTTTGAGGGAAGTTCTAAATTAGTATTATTTTTCAAATACCGTTGGAATTCAACCTTTTTAATTTCGGCCTGCAAATGGGACATAGTACCTTTAAGACGTAGATATATTGATATATGTAACTAATAACAAGGAAACAACTAATTTTGAATACATATTTATGTACGAGCTCCAAACTTTGTTTTACTTATTATGAAATTAATCTGTATTCCATTTCAAAGTATCTTTGTGATGGGGTATCAATTGCAAATGAGAGTCTATATATGGTCTAGTTGGTGGCCAGATGCCAATATTGATAATAGATTATCAGTTGATAACTGGTCTCTACTGGATAATCAACTGGTATTCAACTAGTTTTCAAATAGTATATCAGCAGGTAAATCTACTGGTTTTCAACTGGTAAATCAACTAGCATTCAGCTGGTTTTCAACTGGTAAATCAACTGGAAAAATCAACTGGTCTCAGATGTCAATATTGGTAAATCTTCTGGTTTTCAACTTGTAAATCAACTAGTATTCAGCTGGATTTCAACTGGTAAATCAACTGAATATATCAACTGGTCTCAGATGTCAACTGGTTTTGTAATGATAAATTAACTGAATATATCAACTGGTCTCAAAATAGGTCAACTGTTTTTTTCTTCAAATTTCATCTTTTGCACAAGCTGCGCCTTGAGCATTTGACTGTCAAGTGGATTTGGCGCCTTATAAATCTTATGTATTATTATTGCAACCATTGCAAAAAATGATGTTTAGTGACAGGCAATTAAAAAAAGGGGAACAAGAAGAAATGTTCGACTTACTGGACATGGTGAGAATATTCCGATTCTGCAGCAGTAATGGAAGAATGATAAAAAACACCCTTGTCATGGTTTTCCTTTGAACCGTAAAGACTGCTCTAAAGTCTGCTCTCGGTGACGAAGCCACCATTCTGTACTGTGTATCGCTGGATCTCCGGGTGGGTGAGAGTGTGAGACAGCGTTGCTCGTGGGCGGCGAACGGGGGAAGTATAGTTTCAGAAAAGAAGACATTTTCCTAGCTCCTATTCCGATAGAACTGATTTCATAAAAACCGTTTCTCCCGCGTGATCTCGAGGCATGAACAAACTGTATATGAAGAATTATTTGGCTTGAGTGGATGAAAGCTTGCGTATCATATAGGTTGGTAGAAGCTGATTACACCAACCAATGATTAATATCTTGTCGTAGAGACCAAAAAAAATTCTTTAGTCAAAAAATATTATGACTGTCGAAAGACTGTGCTACGACTGTCTCACCGAATATTGTATTTCGTAAGAAGCTCGCACAACATTGCAAGTCTATCGTGCGCCAGTCTTGCGTTAGTTTTGCAACATATTTTCGTTTCGGTACTCTGTCTGGTGCACATCAGCCACTGTAACCACCTTTCTCTTGTTGTTTTTCTTCTTGGGAGGCATCCTGGATACAAACTTGGATTAAATTCGGGCAGGACTGTTTCCACTGAACAGTGAGAGCAAATGGCAAGCAACAGACCTCAGTCGGAAATACTGTAATCTAAATATACAATTATACTGTTATAATAGTGATTGGTAGGCTCTATTCTGAAACCGAAATCTAAACAGAAATGATTAAAGTGCCTCCACTTGAATTTGTTTCTTACAGGTCAAGTGTCATGATGTTCCTTTTTTTAAAAACATTTCTTTCATTACAAACTTATAGTGAAACCATAACTTTATGAGCTGAGTGGCGCTTTTGTGAGGTCATACGCATGGGTAAAAATTTGAGAGAAAAATTAGAGAAAATAAGTAAAAATACATAAAGCGATCTCATTAAAATGTGACGAAAATAGAACAACTAATCAGAACAGTCTTCAAATCGCCGCGTTTGAGTATAAGAAAAATCAATTTGGAAACAGTTCTAAATTGAAAAAATATCACAAAACTGTGTGTTATCAAGACGGAACTAAAGAATAATAAACAACAAATTGACCAATGAAAACGTGAATCATATTTATCACGATTTTAGCAATGGCCTGTTAACCACTATCGAACGATTTCACAATTATAATGAAGTTATGCTTATAATTATTTCCCTTTCCCTTTTTTCCACTCATTAAAAGAGTGTTTCTTTTGTGACGTTATAACTGATATTTATAATGCTTCTCGAACAATTTTCAAAACATGTCGAGAAATGGCAGAAAAGTTTGAACCAATCATTCATGCCATGTGACTGGCGGAGATAGCTACATGGGCCAGTATATCGAACAAGACTAGTGAAAGGGAAAGAGGGAAAAGAAAGTGAGATGGGAAATAGAAACTTGATCCGGGGGGGGGGGGGCGTTTCATTAAACAATTAGTCGGTGGTTTTCACCGACTAATATCATGTTCACCGACAATTCTTTTGTCACCGACTATTTTCCAGGCCTGTGATTGGTCAAATTTAGTCAGTGTTGACTAGATTGTCGGTGAAAATGATATTAGTCGGTGAAAACCAACGACTAATTGTTTCATGAAACGCGCCCCCCCCCCGCCTCTTCCACATCATCGCGGCCGCTTGACGTACCTACGATCCCCACATTTCCCCTTGACTTTTAAAAGGTCAACGGTTCGATCGTTGTCGGTGCATGCTCTGTATCTTTTTTTATATCAAAATGAATAATGAGAACTTTGAATTTGTGCAAGATATCTTAGATGCAAAAAATCCCATTCATTTTCTACTTCAATCGGTCATTAACTCTTAAACATCACAAGTTTCGTTTACGTCTTGTTTTACAAAACATATAGTTTCTGTCACTCATTCCTTCCCAATCCAACATATAGCGCTTGATTCACAAATAATCATGTATCTTTGAATAATTAATTCAAAAATTTTGTCTTTTATACGGCACTATAATGATACATCAACTAATTTGTGGCCAAATATTCCAGTGATCTTTCACCTCTATTGTTCATAATGATTTGTTTGTTTGTTTGATTGATTTATTGACCAACAGCAATGCAGTAATGATATGAACGTTTCTGTACGAAAGTTGGATTTTGATTTGTAATGATTGTGTAATTTAACTTCTTATTAATTTTCTTTTTGGTTTCAATCGATGATCCTATTTATGACCATGTTTACATTGTAAACATTGTGCAATTAGTCCCTGGACTACTACATGTACTTTGTATTTTTTTTTATTAATGATCCACATCGAATTGGAGAAGAAAAAAAAACTTTAAGTGTAGCTACCCTTGGTCATTAATTCATAATAAAACCAGTGATTTACATGTCAAACAGGATCAGTGCACTAACCAACCATTTTTGTTTTTTGTTAATTAATCGTAGAAAAGGGAAAGAGTTGAGAAATATCTTGCCAGTCTTTTATTTCATAAAGAAACAAAATCAGCCAAACTTCAGTAAAAAACATTCTGCTTGAAGCAAGTCTGCAAATACGTTAAAATATTGATTTTGCTGGAATTAGTCCTACATTACGAATTAACCATCAAATATTTTATTCAGTGTTGTTCGTGTTTCCAAGGACACCATAAGGCTGAAGTTATTCTTTCCATATGCATAAATACTAGTCGCTGGTATTAGTCATTACTCCGGAACCGGAAATTTGACGAAACTCTTTTTTGACCTGCCTTGAATCGTCCATTCCATTAAGGGGATGTTTAAACAACCTTGTCATTACGACGATACCGTTATTGATTTAAACATTTGTTTACAAAGTTATCAAGATAATTTTTGATTTTTTAATGGATTGAAAAAATAGAACACTTTACAGTGAAATAATTTTAAAATATTCAGAACATCATAAAGTGTATGTTCGCGTCTATTGAAAAAAAAAATCCTGGGATTGAATCTAGTAATCTATTCTACGTCATCAATATTACACGACGACTTCTGAAACGATACGGAAAAATGGCTGGTGGTCCCACAAAATCCGATATTCAGACAATTTTCAAACGTCTACGATCGATTCCAACAAACAAAGTAAGTATTTCTGAACTGTTACCACCTTATGATAAATTATCAATAATTTTCCTGCCCTAAATTTAATGGATTTACCATAAGAAATCGTAGCATATTCTCCGTCGTTCATGTCCAGTTCGTTGTGTGGTGTCAGTGTGATTGTGATTGTGTATGCTTGCATGGCAAAGCCGGGCGTAGACCGAAAGCTTCAGTCTCTATAATCGTCGGTTGTTCCACTGAGACTACGTCTGGCTCCACTAGACCTCCGGTTATAGAGACTGAACGACTGCCTATGCCAGCCTGTGTTGAACTTATTCCGCTAGATTTTAGCCGCTAGGCCCCTCCCACAAACTTGCCACGGCCGTATTGTTATGCCCCCAAAATCCCCCAAAATGTCATTTTACCTCGTTCATTTCCAATTTTAAATTAGGCCTAGGCTATAATACATCGGTTCCACTTACTAACTTCATTGATATAATCCGTTTAATGGTCCCTTTTAAGGAAATTATCGGTCAAAATCGACATCCATGTTGAAAATCTTGCAAGCCGTGTTTAACTCTCGCTGCCGTCAATCTCATCCCTTCTAGTCTACGCCGAAGGCAAAATGATTATGAAGGAAAAACTGTGCGCCATCTACACGTTCGTAATGGCGTTATCACAGTTTTTCCTTCATAATCATTTTGCCTTCGGCGTAGACTAGAAGGGATGAGATTGACGGCAGCGAGAGTTAAACACGGCTTGCAAGATTTTCAACATGGATGTCGATTTTGACCGATAATTTCCTTAAAAGGGACCATTAAACGGATTATATCAATGAAGTTAGTAAGTGGAACCGATGTATTATAGCCTAGGCCTAATTTAAAATTGGAAATGAACGAGGTAAAATGACATTTTGGGGGATTTTGGGGGCATAACAATACGGCCGTGGCAAGTTTGTGGGAGGGGCCTAGCGGCTAAAATCTAGCGGAATAAGTTCAACACAGGCTGGCATAGGCAGTCGTTCAGTCTCTATAACCGGAGGTCTAGTGGAGCCAGACGTAGTCTCAGTGGAACAACCGACGATTATAGAGACTGAAGCTTTCGGTCTAAGCCGGGCGTAGCTAGTCGCATACGCGCTGGTGCAGTGTGGTGTGAAGATGTCGATGTCGCTGAAAAAATTACTGAGAAATATGGAAATCAAAATTTTGAAGAGTAGATCTATTCAGTTTCATTCTGAAAAAAACAATTCTTGTTCTAGTTTTGGTGATGAAATAACTGAGCCGTGTGATGACATTATCTTTCTATGTAACAGTGCTATATTATTTAATTAGACTTGCATAGCCATAGATCTACATCTGTACATTTGTGAAATTATGAATGAATTATGAATGAATTATGTTTGTAAAAGTTGTATTGTAATTGGGTGATGTAATGTATTTACAGTAATGTTTGTTGATCAAATGATTTCAGTTTGTATCAGCTCAGAATATGGAATATGCTTTGTTTCTACAGTATGTTCTATGTACAAAAAAGAATTAGAGTTTTGAGAAATAAAATCAATCATTTAATTTCAATGAATACAAAAAATATAATTACTTACTTACTTTACTGTACTTACTTTAATACACGATGTTGTAGGTCTAAGCCTGTTCATCGATCCAGGATTCTTCCATGATTACTGCTATTTGTGGAGGGAGGAGGTTGTGTAATTAACATGAGACAATAGACAACACCTAGACCGGCTCATACAAAAGGCTTACATTCTTTGACCAGTGACTATCAAGTCTATTCTTAAATGAGTTTACCGACCCAGCTGCCACAACGTTTTCTGGGAGACCATAAATTTATTGACATTATCGTTGACATTGCACTCTTAAAGTTAAACTTATATAATTTGATGCACTAAAACAGGTTTTTTTAAAGGTCAATACACTGTCACAATTCTGAGTATGAGGTGGCAATTTGATGTGCTGCCCTAGAAATATTTTGGCTGTTTTTTGTTTTTGTTTGTTTTTTCAGCAATGCCAGAATTTAGAAACATGTCATGAAATGGCTTGAATTTAATTCAATATTTGGCCAGGGATTACGGTTAGGCTGAATGGAATGCTAGGCAATTTATGAAATTTGATATTGACTTAACTACTACTCCTGCAACACACTTTGAAATTATTCAATAATTTAATTATTTAAGTTTAACAAAAAATGTGGAAATTAGTTGCCGGCGTGATAGAGCTTTGCTTACCTTGCACGACCACCTGTTCCTGATAATAATGAACTGACACACGATTTACATGATTGAAATGTTCACCTCTACAGAGAGTTTACGATGTTGATAATGGCTGAAAACACAAGTAATGATTAGTCTATGAAAAAGGCTGATTTTGCTTTGCCAATTCGATGCTGACTTTGCGACAATAGCGATTATTGTAAAAAGGCTCACATGCTAAATTCAGTGAACTCCCAGGGTGATTATGTACACTAAACTAACCTCTACAATAAAGAAGAAAATAAGGATTTCTCTTTAAAATACTATGGTTTTCAACTTTTCACTTTTGTCAATTGGTCATGGAAAGAAAGATAAGATAATATAGTGACTTTTTATCGTTTATTATAAGAGGTAACTTTTGTTTTGTGTCCTTTCCAGATATGCTTTGACTGCAATGCCAAAAACCCAACATGGGCTAGTGTTACGTATGGTGTATTCCTCTGTATAGACTGTTCAGCAACGCATAGATCACTTGGTGTCCATTTAACATTTATCAGGTAAGCAACGATCTTTGCACTCAAATTGATTGTATTTGATGATGGAAATATATGTTTAAATTCTACATTTATCTGGTAAGAAAAGGTATTTGTGCTTGAATCAAATGTGTTTGTAGAATCTATGGAAAGGTATCTACTGTAGGCAATTTTAGATAATAATATACATGTTTATGAATAACTGGTAGAATTGTAAGATGAGGATTAATTAGTTATTAACTTAATCTTTGTACATAAAAAGTACCTCTCTTGGTTTGTATATTTGGCTCTAGTATTTTAAGCATCGTGATTGGTCAATACGCGTCACATGACATTGACAAATTTTTGATGCAAGCACGATTTTGCAGAAATGAGTGCAGAAAAAGCGCAACAAAAAGTTATATTGCACGTGACCATGGAGATCCAGTGCGCGCGCGTACGTGTAGTAATTGACCAATTGACCAATTGTGCGAAACGTAAATGCAGTGTACGCTCGGTTTCTTCAGATGGTTCGCACTGTCAACTCGCCGCAAGCGGCTCGTTGCACAGAGCGGCACCAATCTAAAGAAACCTCGCGCGTACTGCATTCACCGCTATTGCACTCTGGGACGTGCGTTATTTGTATAATATATTTTTTTCTCTCTCTTCCTCTCTGTCCCTTCATACCACCTCTTCTTTTCTCGACCATATCTCCTCTCATACATTTGTTTATTAGTTCATGAATATGCTGTCTTCCAGCATCTCTTCTTTTTTCTAGCTCCAGCTACAGTACATTGTATCTTGTATATTTGTCTTTTTTCCAAAGAAAGCATTCCTTTTCCAATATTGTAAAGACATGAATCCATCTTGTTTGACCCATATATTGTGCTTAACAAATTTGCAATGTTCATTTTCCTGAATTTTATTGGTGTTATGGTGTGACTGAAGTATTAGCGTTTTGTATGTTCATCTTTTCTTCTTTCTTCAGATCAACTCAATTAGATACATCATGGACATGGGCTCAGTTACGTGCAATGCAAGTTGGAGGCAACGCCAATGCAGTAAGTTGTTTGTATTTGTAGTTGTAATCCAGAGCGATTTTATGTCAGTTACCTTTTAGTGGTCAATTTTATTCATCATCTCTTGATTCCGATTGTAAGAATTACACTTAATACATGAGCACAAAGAGCGAAAGTCACTGGAAATTGATTCAGTACACATTTCTGAAATTGTTGACTTGTATCGTAAACTGTAAGAGTGAAAGATAAGAATAATCAATGCCACTTTGAAGATGCAAAACTGATTCATTTAGACACACTGGTTTTTGTAACTGCCTTAAAACCTCTTTTGTATTTTCTTCTGTTTTGTGATCACATAATATTTGGCATTGTACACTTCTTTAACCTGCTTTGTTATGTATAATTCTGCTGTGACAACTGACATGATCTTTGTTATATTGTTCAATCAAGGGAAAAAATAATTTCTGTTGAATGACAGAATAATCAATAAATTCTAAATACTTAGAAAATTGTGAACTGCTGAAGATTTACCCATGTGGTTAAAGGCCCCTATGTGATCAAGGCCTACATGTACTTGTGTCCTTCATGTCATTTTACCCTTTTTTGGAATAAGTTGGCTTTTAGAATTAGTCATTTTTTTAATCATTCTTTTTCTTCCTCTGAACAATTACTGAGGCCCAAATTCATGAGGCAGGTTTATACATTTAGACTATGGATTAAACATTCATAAGGAAGTATTGACATTGCATTGAACAAGAGGCCATGAATGCAGCACTCTCATAGAGGATTAAATCATGGCCTGAGAACAATTCTGGCCAAAGAGGGTGCTTTTCATAATATATGATAGCTTATCAGTTTTACGATATATTACGAGCCAGAGCAATATAACACCGAGTTCCTATAGGAAATCTATTTATTCAGATGGTCATATCTCAGCCAATATTTAACATATTCAATTGGTTTTCGACATTTGGACATTTATTTTGATGCTCTTTCAGAAATGAAGAAAAAATTGAGAAATTCAAAAATAGATTTGTATGATGTCAGTGTCACAGCTTCGGTACTCAAATATTTTTTATATAGATTGCTAGTAGTTTGCTACAAAGTTGCCTACATAGCTGTATGCACTGAATACCACCCAGGTGTTAAAATGGGTACCCGGTAGGATGCGAAAGCTAATGTGGTTTGATAAGCAATGGCGCTTGTAAAATGGCGACTGGCTGGAATGCTCCCCAGGGAGTGGAGAATGTGCATACTTTGTGTGCGGGTAAGCCTGAATCCGATGACCGGGGTAATAATATGTTCCGCGCCTAGAAACAAAGTATTAGGCGCGTTATAAATGTGAGCTATTATTATTATTATTAATACCTTCTCTACATGTGTATGTCACATTCAACGCTAAAAATACACGGGGGCAGTGGGCGATTCGCCCCCGTGAGCTCCATTATCGCCCCGTCAGGTTTCTCACAGGGGTGATTGCAAAATTAAAAATCGCCCCCGTGGAATTATAAAATAAAGATTATCTTTTATGATATAACTTTAACACAATATTGAGTATCAATTTTCAAACCTTAAACCAATGAAATGGTACTTAGATGGCGCTATCTCTCCCATCTCTATGAGTATTACTGATACAAAAAAACGGAAGCTTGCACTATATTGTGCGGCCGTCAGCAGTGACTATACTGCGCCGGTAGTACAGGTTTGCACGCTGACGCCCAATATCTGCTGAAGCTGGAGACGATCACGCAAAGACTGAAATATGCAGAAGTTTTTTGTTGTGAAAAGTGTGAATCCTCTGAAATCTGGTGATTCCAAATTACCAGCAAATTATGTACCTCGACCAGTAAATCAATATCGAGAAGAAGAACAAGACCAAAGATGTTGCAGGGGCGGATCTAGGCGGTTTAGGGGGTTTAACCCTCCTACCCCCCCCCCTCCCCCTTGGGCTGCCAAGTGAAAATGCGATGTGCATAGAAAAATGCCATCATGTGTCCAGACCTACACAGTATATGTCAGTAGATGTTAGGAAAACATCACTGTCTTAGGGAGGTTCAAAATAGCAACAATAAAAATCGCCTCGCCGCTATGCGGCTTGTTGACGATAAATGATAATGATAAAAAACAAGGAATTTAGGAGTTTAATGGGTACCAATTCAATGGAAATTTTTATTAAAATAAGAGCCCCTGTCAGCACTAAAAGAGCCCCCGTGAGAAGGCTCGCAGGGGCTCTTTTGGGGGGGAAAGAGCCCCTGTGGACAAAAAATTAATTTGAGCCCATGTCACATTTATTCAGTTGTCTGACTGCTATACTCGAGTCACTATGAATTATAAATATTCATCACAAGTACATTATTATATGCATATTCATAATCAATGCCTGGTCATCTGTTCTCCGCCTTTTATAGGTTGCCTACTTCAGACAGCACGGAGCCTCCACCAACGATGCTCAAGCCAAGTACAATAGCAGAGCTGCCACACTCTACAAGTCCAAGATCAAGGAACTAGTTGCAGCCGCCATCAGAAAATATGGCACAGAGGTAAGAATCATGTTCATGTGTATCCACTAAAGCCTTGCTCACATGTGCTGCTTGCGAACTGTTATTTTAAAGCCCCACTGCACTACTTATAGCTACTTGCGCCCTCTATATAGCAAACAATGCCTAATCGGTGACCATTGATCCCCCGTGATCCTCTTTTTCTTATGTTAATTGAGAGCTGATTTGATGAGTTAACTGCGTGTCAGTGACCTTGCAGGGAGGTCTCTTCCTCCTGGCTAAACTAGTGCAAACGGGCTTTAAAGCATGCTGTGCTTCACATGTGTGTATCCTATTACACACAGACACACACACAGACAGACAGAAAGGTGAGTAGGCACATAGAACCTTGTTGCTCACAGCTACCCTTCTCATCCCCACTTTCCATTCATTTTAGTGACACAAAATGGCGGTTTATGCACCATATGTGAAAGAACCTTGAATATCCACTTTAAGGTCGACCCTAGCAGGGTGCTACAAGAATTTTTTTCACCACTTGCCCTGTCGGGCAAGTGGGTTTTCAATTTACTTGCCCAAACAATATTTCCACTTGCCCAAAACTTTAAAGCGAAAAACCATGAAAACAAAACAACAACGGCTTATATTCTGGGGGTCTCGATACTATTATCAAAATGACTCGCTCGGTCGGATCTTGAGACCGCAGTAATAAATTGAAAACGAGACAAAAACATTCATCTGATTTATATGAGCAGCGAGTTTTAAATAATATGTTCACAATCATTAACAGTCATTATGAATAAATATCAAACATTTGACTTTTTGTACTTACTAGAAAATCCCTGTTGTTTATTCCATTCCGATTCGCACGTGTTCATTTCCCTAGAATAATGACGTCATATTTGGCGTGATTCAACCAATCGGCAATCAGAGAATAGCAAAGGCCTGTCGGTGCGGCCTGCAGAGCTAGAGAGAGAGAGCGCGAATAAGCTCGCAGCTGGTACGATCGCGCTAGCTGTCTCTAGCTAGCTCACGGCCGGCCGTGCGTGGAGGCGGAGCGGCATTCATGGCTTGAAGTGTCACTGTTGCATGCGCGCTGAGCTAGCTGAGCTGGCTAGCTGTCTGTGAAGTTTTTTCGAAATCGGAACGATCGCTTTTTTGCTTCTGGATTTTGACGACGGGTAAGAAGTTGACGGGTGAATGGTAGAGTTCTTGGACACTAGGAAATTACTGTAAAAGTATCACTTGCCCGAATCGGGCAAGTGATAATTTGATTTACTTGCCCGACGGCTCAATTTGGTTGCCCCGGGACGTCGGGCAAGCGGGTTTGTCGCGCCCTGCCCTAGTTGTAGATCTATGCATGAGACATGAATAATTCATGTCGTAGGTGCTTTCTTCCGCACAGGTGCTCAATACAGTTGGGGGATAAACAATGTTGTATATTAGCATGAAGCGTTCAAAGTAGGAAATATGAATTGTATGTTTTAGAATCTCAAGGGTGAGTCCAAGGAAATTGGTCATTTTGTGTTTCATGTGACATTCAGAGCATGATGAATATTGAAACTATTCTGTCCCTTTATATTTGGTCAGGGACCTATTTCACAAAGCCTTTTTTCAATGACAAATGACAAAAATCAGTGACAAAATCTGCTGATAACCAATCAGAAGCAAGGATTTCAATAGCTTATAACAAAAACTGTCATTTGTCACTGATGGCAAGTTTTGTGAAATGGGGCCCTGATCACAGCTATCAGTGCTATCAACTCAAGGCAATCATCAGGGCCCATCTTATAAACAGTTGCGAATAATCGCAACTTATTGGCGCTTGATATCAATTTCAACTATGTACCGGTACGTAAGAAACCTCCTTTTCTTGGCATCTCTGAACTCTCCCCATGTTTATGAGATGAATGCAACCAGGAGGAAGATTAAAAATGATGAACCTTCGGTGTCAGGGTTCTTATGCCCTGGTCCCATCCTCTAGCATCATTACAGGGTTCTTTATGGAAAAAAAAAAAAAACATTAAAAAAAATTACCGGGTTTGTACATGAGAGATAGGGGCCTGCAAACTTGCTCTTGGTTATATTACTTTCGGTTGATTCCGATCAATCGCAATTCTTAAGACAGGGCCTAGATGTATTATGCTATAGTTAGTAATGTTTTGGATGCGCCCGTAAATAACCATAAACCATAACTATGCATGAATCCTTCCGCTCAAAGAATATATTAACCCTAAATAGTCGCTTTTGTAATTAAAACATGATTATTGCATGTGAATGCTACCAGTAATATTTTTAAAGCAATTATTTCGGAAGAATGAGATTCCCCTAAAGCGGGAGAGCTCGTCTACCTCATGCTTGCTGGCTTTCTGTTAAGCTTTTTTGGGTGCTCTGACGATTCTCGCTGCTGCAATTAGGGTACTTGGCATGTACCGTACATGTATGTCTCTGGTCATACAGTAATATGGCTTGCCAACGGGTGATGATATTCATAGTTCTGCCTGGCAGGACTTATTGTTTGAATGCACTGAGTGCTACGGTTGCCAAAGCTAAAGCAGGGTTAATAATACCCAAAGTCCTTTGGAAGCACATTGAGACTTAGTATATGGTAATGTGATATGCGCTGTACACAGGGAAAAGGTTACTTAAAAAATTTCGGGGGCTACTTTTCAACCTTGCTTGCATGAAAATAACACTCTTTAATTTGTTTTGCATTGAACTCTATGCAACATTTTGGGGCTTTTTTATGACTTTCGGGGGCTCTTTGGGGCATTTCGGGGGCTAAGTCGCCCCGAGCCCTCATGTATTTTTTCCCCTGGCTGTATAGCAACGGCATATTATCTAAATGAATATAGGCAGGAATCAGAGATCAGGGTCAAGCCATGACCTGCTAAATCTTTTATTCCGTAGATGAATGATAGATCAAAGAAAGATGATTTGTGGAAATGGGTAAGTATGTCATGGTATTCAATTAGACTGTGTCATCAGCAGTAATTGAAATGGTATTGCGCTTATTGTTGGGGCCATTTTATATATATGATCATAGCAAATAAGGGCTTGTTCAGAGATGAGGAGCTAAATCGTGGCAGGTTTATTATCAATGTGTACAAATACATGGCAACTGCACACAACAAAGGTCCTACGCATTTTCATTGAGCTCTGTGTTTGTAGATACAATAGCATCATTTTGATTTTTTTTAAAGAGAAAAAACGCAGCAGTTTCCTGCATCATATCTGAACAAGGTCGCTGCATTATCCTTCCTATACATGGGCTTTGTAAGTGCGCTTTATCTGGGGTGATGAGGTGTTCATACATGCTTTTATTTCTTGGCCTACCTACATGTAGATGTCGTTAGTGCTTGGTCATTAGCTTTTCACATGATTGCTGTGGCAGGTATCACATATGTAATTTTTTTCTCTCGACGAAATGCTAATTTGAGTTCAACGCATACAGCTGGAACCCCAGTCATGGTGCAACACTTACAAAACCGACTCCAGTGCCCTTAAATTTCTTTGGCAAATTTGCTCTTAGCTACAGTAATCAAATGCCACAATTTTAGTAGTTTATAACAGTTACTGTAACTTGTTATTGCTGACAAGTTTTATGACACAGGGCCCGGACCTTCTGTAGCCTGGACAAAAAATCAAATTATCCAGAATGGCCTGGGGTTTGTCGATGAGTTATCTGTCTGCTTGGAGTCGGTGTGGCTTTGCGACAAGGGTATAAGATAAGGAATTAGTCAAGTGGCTCGAGCTATGAGATTACTCTTGGCAATAACTCAAGAGTTGTAATCTTGCTGGTGGCTCTATGTTGCCTCCAAGCTGTATGCTTTGGTGAAAGTGCATGCACATGTACAAGCTCACTGTGAAATATGTTGCAGTCTTCTTTCTTTTATACTTTGGTCAAACCACCAAACTGAATCACAATTCACTCCAAACCAACTGATTCTTGCCCATTCAGGGTAACGTTATATTTTGATTGGTCTGTTAACAGTTGGTCAGGTGGCGGTCTCTGCGGCGTCACTTGGAGCTTATATACCGTATTTGCCGGCGATAAGGCCGCACCGCCGCATAGGCCACACCCCCAACTTTGACATTTCAAAGAGGGGGGTAATAATCATAATTTTCTCGAAAACACTATTTTTTTTTACAAACTGATACCAAATTCATTCATATTCTTATAATTTACCGGAAGTTTAGATATATGCCTACCACAATGTACGGTGTAATGCGAAACTACATGAAATGGAAAAACAAAATGGCGACTGTCCCTTCCTTTACCTTTGCAATGCATTGGCACAAACTTAGATCAAGATCTATCGGCAAATGTTGTGTTAGGACGTTTATTTTTGTCTTCATGTCAACAATGCAAGATAAAATTGTCGGTAAGATGTTTGGAAATGTCCTGTTCCATAGTGGTATTGTTATTTTACCGTTTCTAGTCCCATACGTGCAAATTTGTGTTGGTTTTGACTTTCGTTTTTTTTTTATTTTTTTTTACTCTTTCGTCGTAAAGGCCGCACCCCAACTTTTTGATATTTTCTCTTCCAAAAATACTGCGGCCTTTACGCCGGCAAATACGGTAGTGAGTGATTTCAAGTTGGATGTTTAGGGCTGGTGTTAGTATTTAATAAACACTAACACCAGCCCTGAACACCAAAATGGAAAGCAGCAGGTGATAAGGCTTGGACCTCTGAATACTGTCAACTTACGGTAGCTAGTGTTATCGATTTTGCAAAATTGTCGTCTGCTGAACCGACCTTTGTGGCTGGTGTTGATATTTAATGTACAAATGTCCTATTCACTAACACTAGCCCCTAGGGATTCAGCAAATGTTGATTTCCAGTTCGGTGTTAGTGTTGGACAACAGTCAACACACGAACGACGCTAAATTATTGTCTGATGATCAAATAGAAATATGTGAAACAGGTTCTTAACTATGTGATTCATACATTCTTCAGTGTAAAATTAGTTATCGTGTAAGACCAGAGAAAGAAGTGTAAATTTATTTTGTGCTTTTCATGATATCTTTAATATTTATGTACTATTTTTAAATCATCGTCAATCGAAATCAAGTGTGTGTGGTGATGTCACAGTGCCACGGTGGTGTTAAGCTATCAATATTGATATCGGTATCGGGCTTTTAATTTCATCATCAAATGTTTAGCTCGATTTAAGAGCTCTTGACTGCTCTAAACACTAACACTAACACCCAACTTGAAATCACTCAATGCCTCCAATCGGTCAAACCCAGGGCTTTAAATGATCGGTGTTGCAATGAGATTGTCTTCAAGACAAAATGTGTTAAAACAAGAACTTTTACTAACCATCTGCCAAGGTATATCATTTTTCTCTAACAGAGTACCGTAGTGTTCTGCATTACCGTATGAAAATACTACCAGCTGCGATGAAAACCAATCATATTTATTTAACTTGGTGGCTTTGAAGCTATTAAAAATGATATACCACATGTCTAGATGCTAGGCCTCTGATTTGTCAAAACTGCAGGCATGAAATTGGCTGCGCATAGTATTACTTGCTTGTACAATGCAAAGACACATTAGATGTGCATGAAGTCAACAATGGATGCGAGCAGTGGATACACACACTTCTTTTAAAGGTAAAGACCAGTATGGGAAACGCCCCAATTTCAAAAAATGAAATGGAAGCTCCTATTACCAATCATGTGAAAGAGTATGTTTTGACTAAAACATGATGATAAAAATTTTGCCGGGAAACCGCCTACTTATTGATATATTTGGTAAATTAGTTTATCTATTGGTGTGTGAGAGATAAACGCACGTGTCGCGCACGTGTGCGTAGTCCCATATACATCTTTCTGCGTGTAACTTTACGAAGACTGGGCCAAATTTCTTATCATTTTGATGATTCCAGAACCTTGCAGTACACACCAATACTTATATACTTATATGCTAGATGATCAACCTTTTCTGATCGATTCCACAACGTTTCTTTCACAATGCAATGGCATGACCATAACTGGTCTTTATCTTTTAACCAGTAAACTCCCTACCTATTGAGAATCTATAAGCATGACTGCTGAATTTTCAGGTCAAGATTAAAGGTAAAGCTCCTGTGTGATCTCAACAGTTTCAAGATCAGGTTTGGTTATAGTTTGAACCATGTCCCTCAAGGCAGTCAATATCTGTATAGTATATTACTGTAAGCAGCAAAATAGACCATTAGCTATATTTAGCTTGCATCATTGCCGGTATAAGAGGGTAGAAAAAATACATTATACAATGTAGGTCTCACATAAAGGTGAGATAATCATATGAGGGAATGCAAGGCATAAGATAAGGCCTGTAGTTCATAAACTGAAGGCTAATCCCGGTGATTGACAATACCGTAAATCTCCGTGTATAAGGCGCACCTGTGTATAAGGCGCACCCCTATTTTGGGGAGGAAAAAAAAAAATTGTCTTGTTTTTGTTTTGTTGTTCTTGTTTTGTTGCCGAAAACCCATGCGGGGAAGGACCTTCATTTAACATCGAGGTGCAGTTAAAGGAGCTGATTTGTGCTTGTAAACTTGTCACAAATAATAGTAACAATGTCGTTTTTAGAAGAATGTGTAAGATCATTAATGTAAGTTAAAAACAATAGAGTACCTAGGTCCTAGGATAGATCCTTGTGGTACACCATTTGTTATATAAAAAAAATGAGGAATTATTATTACAAACTACATATTGAGATCTATTAGAAAGATTACTTTCAAACCAAGATGACAGACAAATTTTAGTGTTGTTGTAGCTGGGAGACATTGCGAGTCATAGCGCCATAAATCGAAAATAAATAAAATATATAAAAAAAGTAAGATAAAATAAAAACAAATTTAAAAAATCTGTACCTGTGTATAAGGCGCACCCCCGACTTTCTTTTTTTTTTCGGCGGCAAAAAAGTGCGCCTTATAAACGGAGAATTGCGGTACCTGTTATTGGATAAACACTTGATTGATGTTGGATACCTCATGAGAGCCCTCAACTATGTTTCTTTAAGCCTCTACATTTATATTCAATTACAATTTTTTTTGTTGCTATTTTGAAGTTGGCTGGATCACGACCCTGTGTATTGTCTTTTGTTTTTGTTTATAATTAGCTTCATCTCGAGGACTTTGTGCAGTCCCCTCAACAGAAGGAAGTAGACTTCTTTGAGGAACATGTCGATGCGCCCTCTAACATCACACCGATCCCTGCAGAAACAAGCAACGGCACGTTAACTAGCGCTCAAGAATTGGTCCAAAAAGTTCCAGTACCGTCGGCTTCGCCCAAACCAGGTGAGATAATGCTTCCTACTTTCATGGAATGATTACCCTGTGTATAGTTACCACCTACATGTGTACTAAATATGTATTTCAGAACCTGTCTAGGGCAGTGAAAAGTATGCACTGGAGCTCTAATGATCTGTAAAAGAACTCTCGTAAAAGTAACAATATAAAACTTAGATATCACTTTGAGATTAGTTACAGCCAGTCTTACTTTATTCTACATATATTCTTTTGTCATGATTGTGTAGAATTTGCAATGTTTTGTTTGTTATATATTTGTAAAAATGCAACAGAAAATGAAAATCAAACAGACATAAATAAATCAAATCAAATCAAATAAATGTTTTGCTGCACCCTTCACAGCTGTAGAAGAACCTGCGGGAGCACCTAACGTGGAAGCAGCCCTCAGTACGTCGCCCTCCCAGGTCAAGGTGGAGCCAAGGAAACCCACCATCGGACAGAGGAAACCAGCAAGTGCAAAGAAAGGGGTAAGCATTAACTACCAGGGGGGTGTTTCACAAAACTTGTCATCAGTGACAAATGACAGTTTTTGTTATAAGCTACTGAAATTCCTGCGTCTGATTGGTTATCAGCAGATTTGTCAGTGAATTTTGTCATTTGTCATTGAAAAAGGCTTTGTGAAACGGGTCCATGACGTCAGTCAATCAGAGTTCTTGCTGCTGGCATTATTTCTATCCAATATCAATGATGTGATGATGATGAAGGTGATCATGGTAATGATGATGATGATAGTGATGATAATAGTGGTGGTGAGGATAATGGTGGTGATGATGATGATGTCAACACTGATAGTGCTGATGACAACGATGATGATTAGTGTTATTGTGCTTTATGATGACAATGTCAACGATAGTGATGACCTGATGGTGACAACGATGGGGATGATGATGGTGGTAATGATAGTGACAGAGCTGCCAACCATTATGTTTTAGTTTTTTCCTCCAAAGTACGTTTTTATGCCTCCGTTACGAAGTAGCCGGAGGCATTATGTTTTCGGGTTGTCCGTCCGTACGTACGTACGTACGTCTGTACGTCTTTACGTACGTCTGTACGTACGTACGTCCCGTTCTTGTGATCGCGTTATCTGAAGAACCGATCGATGGATTCCTGCCAAACTTTGGTCATGTATGTATCTTGCAGAGCCGATGAAATGATTAGATTTTGGGGTCGCGAGGTCAAAGGTCAAAGGTCACAGGGCTCATTAGGTATGTAAAAACAGCTCGTGATCGCGTTATCTAAAGAACCGATTGATGGATTCCTGCCAAACTTTGGTTATGTATGTATCTTGCAGAGCCAATGAACTGATTAGATTTTGGGGTCACGAGGTTAAAGGTCAAAGGTCACAGGGCTCATTATGTATGCAAAAACAGCTCGTGATCGCGTTATCTCAAGAACTGATTGATGGATTGCTGCCAAACTTAGGTCATGTATGTTACTTGCAGAGCCAATGAACTGATTAGATTTTGGGGTCACGAGGTCAAAGGTCAAAGGCCACAGTGCACATTATGTATGCAAAAACAGCTTGTGATCGCGTTATCTCAAGAACCGATTGATGGATTCCCGCCAAACTTAGGTCACGTATGTTACTTGCAGAGCCAATGAACTGATTAGATTTAGGAGTCATGAGGTCAAAGGTCAAAGGCCACAGCGCACATTATGTATGCAAAAACAGCTTGTGATCCCGTTATCTCAAGAACCGATCGATGGAATCCTGCCAAAATTAGGTCATGTATGTTACATGCAGAGCCAATGAACTGAGTAGATTCTTGGTTCATAAGGTCAAAGGTTAAGGGCTTATTCTGTATATGAGAAATTGCTTGTTATCACGATATTCTGAGAACCTGTCAATGGATTACAATTGAAATTGAATTCGAAAAATTCCTTCTGTTTTGGTTTGTAAAATTGCTCTATGACGGAGGCATCATTTTCGACTGCGCGCAGTCGAATTCCATCTAGTTTCTTCATAAAATACTTTTTAAAAGATTATTTCTTTTTAATTAATTTTTTTTACATACCGCACAAATTAAACACTGATAATAACAAAATAACAAAAAAAAAAAAACCTACTTGTAAATAAACTATAGGTTCGTATATGGTAATAAAAGCATGAGGAATGGACATTTCTGCATTGGGAGTGTGTCGCGCGTGGTTGTAAGTTTCGTTTTAATGAATTCCTTGTTTTAGCTTGAAATTCCATATCTTTGCCATCATGGTTCCTTTTTTTGGCCGCACAAGGTTGGCAGCTCTGTAGTGATGATGATGATGTTGACTTTGTTGATTACTTCGGCAAGGATCATGACGATGATGATAATAACATTACCTTATCATTTTCGATCTTCCGTCCCATCAGCTTGGAGTGAAGAAGAGCAAAGGTCTTGGAGCCCAGAAGGTGAAGGCAAACTTTGATGACATTGAATCCCAGGCCTTGCAGCAGGATAAGATGAGGGAAGAGAGCGCAAAGATGATGGAGCTTCAGAAGACCAAGACAAAAGAGGACGAAGAAGCAAGGACGTGAGTCTACTGTCTACTGCATTTTGTTTGCCCTCCAATATTATCATCCCATGGCTGACGAAGTCGGAGGGGATATACAGTGCGTCCCAGAAAAAACAAAACCCAGAATTATCGATGTTTTATCATAACTTAATTACAATTATGATTAATAAATGACACAGATTTATAAAGCTTAGATCCTCCTCTCTCACTTGATGCATTTCATATGATGCATATTTCACGCATGAGTGATTAAAAACAATATGAAGAGAGGGTACCAAAAAGTCACTTGGCGGGTGGTATCTGAATTTTAAAGAGAAAATTACATTCCTAGAAAGTTTCTTTTCTGCCCTCTCATATGACACCTCAATCTGGAGAAATGTGCCAGGAATAACAAAGTTCTGTTTGTTTAAAGTAATGTTTGCATTTCTATGATTTTATTAAACAAATACATTTTCACTGGCTGCCTGCCGTAGCAACAAACAACAAACTCAGTTTCATGGACGATCAGCCATGCATGAAGTCTTTCGTCTTCTTTTTTGTTCGGGCAAACAGCCAGTGGAACGGATTCGTTTAATATAAAATAAAAACATATTGAATACACTGATTTATTATAGCACTTGGAAGCCTTATATGGATAATAATGAATTGTATCTTCTTTTGTTTGCTTGATGTATTTAGGGCATCCATGCGTCTTGCATACAAGGACATGTCAGTAGAGATGAAGAAACAAGAAGATAAACTGAAGAAAGAGGATCCCCACAAAGCTAAACAGATGGAACGTCTTGGAATGGGGTATGCTGGTAGAGGGTGAGTTTCTTATTAATCACTTCCTTGCTCTCTTCTTCCCTTCATCCTTCACCTTTCTGCTTATCCTTTCTTCCTTTTATTCTTCTGCTCACTTTTTAAATGTGTGGAGTTACATAACTTGAAGAGGGTTAGTTTCTTATCTTTCAATTTCTTGCTCTCTATCTCCCTTTCATCTTTCCTATTATCCTTTCTTCCTTCCTCTCATCCTTTCTTCCTTCTATCCTTCCTCTCACTTCTTGATTGTTTGGAGGATGATAACTAGTAGAGGGTAATTTACTTATCTTCTGATTTGCCATTCTCCTATTTATACTCTTCCTTCATTTTTCCTCCACCTATCTCTTTTCCATTTCCGTCCTACTTTCTTTTCTTGTTATATTGCTACTATTACATCCTTTCTCACAAGGAATAAGAATAATGATAAACCTCTTAAAGCCCCACTTCACTACTTATAGCTACTTGCGCCCTCTACATAGCAAACAATGCCTAATTGGTGTCTGTTCGTCCCCCATGATCCTCTTTTTCTTATGTTAATTGAGAGCTGATTTGATTATAACCACCTGTCAGTGACCTTGCAGGGAGGTCTAATCCCCTCTGGCTAAACTAATACGAACAGGCTTTAATCAGAGTTTTCTGTGTTTTTTGTTACAGTGGAGTATCACATTCAGCTATGAACGATATGCAGACCATTGAGCAGGTCAATCCAGTCAAATCGGGCGGCGGCGGTGGCAGCCGGACAAAATCAAGGGATTTCTTTGATGAATACGACTCTGGCTTCTCACGGGGTTCATCTTCTTCCTCATCAAGGTATGTTTCTGTTTCGGTTGCGTTGGTATACTCGGGGTTAACTGTGCTTCATCAACGTTTTGATTAGTATGGTCGTATATGTGCTGTGGCAGGATAGAGTGTTTCACATTTGAAGTTTCTGCTTGAAGACTGCACTGGAGGTCAATTATATTGCTTTAGGGTGGTGTCTACATGTATTCATATACAATATATTTATTGGAAAGTACCAACACAAATAAACACATATGGGACTGGATCAAAAATTTATGATAATAGCAATGTTGTAGAGAGTTCTTTGATGGCTACAACTTTGGGATCTCATGCAGTTCATCCTCTACCACATTAAGTTATGTCAAATGGTGGCTTAGGATGTACATGAAAATGCATCGAGAAGTACCAACATGCAAATGCTCACCTGGGACTAGACACGAGGAATGGTGCTGAAATCTTCATGGAATAAAAAAAGCACCAACATGGATAAACTCTCCTAGGACAAGGCCTAAGGGCATCGCTGATCTACTCATACATAATTAAACACCAGTGTGATGATGATTGTAAGCTTCTGAAGATGGTATTTCGTATCAAGCGCTATTTAAATCCTGATTATTATTATTATTATTATTATTATTATTACCAACTATTTTAAATTTCTTTGCAGGGGCTTCAAGGACTCTAGCTCCGCCTCTTTCTGGGGCGATGAGAAAGACGATGAGAAAACCACAGATTCCAGCTGGGACATCATCGACAAGAGTGAAACGAGGCAAAGCAGTTATGACAGCATAGCTCCTCTGGAGTCCAGGTATTTTGCATGCAATTTTTCATTTGAATCTGTTTTCATGATCAGGTATTTTTTTAAATTTTTATTTGTGTGTGTATATATATCCATCTGTGTGTCGGGAATTAGGAAAGGGGTAGAGGGAATATGGGAACTGAGATTTGCTTTTTTTGTGGATTGTGCTGGATGCTTTTTAGCAACACTTTTGCTTGCTTGTTCTTTTGCTCTCTCTCTCTCCCTCTCTCTCTCTCTCTTTCCCTCTCTCTCTTTCTGTCTCTGTCACTCTCACTCTCTCTGTCTCTTTCTCTCTCTCTCTCTCTCTCTCTCTCTCTCTTTCTCTCTCTGTCTCTCTCTCTGTCTCTCTCTGTCTATCTCTTTCTCTGTCTCTCTCACTCTTTCTCTCTCTCTCTCTCTGTCTCTCTCTTTCTCTCTCTCACTCTTTCTCTCTCTCTCTCTCTGTCACTGTCTCTTTCTCTCTTTCTCTCTCTCTCTTTCTCTGTCCGTCTCTCTCATCCTCTTCTTGTTATGTGCTAATTTCTATTATCTTCTTTTCCCCATTTCTTTTGTTCTTTCTCACTTTTATCTCAACTAAGTCTGCTTTTTACTTGATTCGTCACTCTTTCTTCCTCACTCTCTTTTTCTTTTGTATCCATCTTATTTATCTTTTCTCTAGTATTCAGATCTCTTCCACCTCTTTCTCCTACTCTCCATCTCTCTCTCTCTCTCTCTCTCTCTCTCTCTCTCTCTCTGCTTTGTATTTCAGAATTTTGTTCTCCTTTCTCCAAGCTCTGTCTCTCTATCTTCCAACTTGATCCTTTCTGGTTTTATTTTTTTACATTTATTTACGCATAATATTTTCTTGTAACCCACTACTAACCTCTCTTTCTGTCATTCCCTGCCCATGCATTGATTCAGAAAGAAAGACAAATATTTAGCATCATCATCAGTATAGTATATATATAAGCATCTTCATCACAGTTTTATCTTCATCATTATAACTGTCATTGGCGCAAATACATCAGGAAAGAAAATATGATTTACATTTCTTTTGTTTGAAAAGGAAATTATTTATTCATTGTGCATATATGCTTCATCGTCAAGGAATTTGCACATTGCACCTAAAAGATAGGGTTAAAATATCTAGCCATTTGATTAAATAGAACACCAACACCAGATTATTTGAGTCTTTGGAGTCTTTAAAAAATACTGTTAAAAAAAAAACTAATAATTTTTATTTAATTTTTTTAATCAATTTTTTTTAACAACAAATAACTATTGCGACTGATTACAACTTTCTCTTGCTCTTTATCCAAAATATATCAATGAAAGGGTCTATTTGGTCATACTCAATGTTGCAGTCTATTTCAAATCTTGTTATTGCTTTTCAATTGCACTTTGAACTAACATTTTGCAAATTCATTTTAAGAGTTGAATACTCAGAAAGAAAACTAAATTATCACTTATTTCACAATTTTCCTTTGAAGTATGAACATGTGAAACCAATCTGCGCAAGAGAAATCTTCTACATATTCCCATATTCACTACTCTTCTTGAGTCAGTTTTAACGATTTCAACTTTTTGGTAGGTTTTGGGATGAAGTGCTTCAGATCCAATGCTAACGCTGAGGGATAAAATTATTACGATGCTAACATAAAATGAAGCTAATTGATGAAATTGTTAAGATGCTAGCAATGAAATATAGCTTACAGGTGACATGTTTAAGATGTGTCTGATAAAAATGAAGCTACTTATTAGTATCGGCTTGCATGGTGATGAATCTATACAGTAGATTGACGGTTGCACCATGTGATAGGGGGAGGATTGGGGAGTCCTTGAAAGGACTGTTGGTAGTCTTGAGCTTAGAGTTCTAAAGAGACGGAAAGTCAACCTGTTCAAGCCCCTTCTACCACCCATCCTCTCCTACCGGCGCTATAGTTCTCTTTAGAACTATGAGCTCAAGGAAAATTACCAACAGTCTTTCTCAGGATTACACACACTCAAGAAAGTGTGTGTGTATTGGGTTTTTACAGACGTGTATCAATCAGATATGATTATTTACGTCTGGGGACCGACCTTTAAACGTCACCATCCGAAAGACGTGACTCAGTTTCGAACCTGTGTTTTCAGCTGAATCAGTTTGTAACTTCCATTATAAGCTGGATTACACGCACATGCCACAACGCCTAGTTGTAGATTACCAACAGTCCTTTTCAGGGCTTATCCCCAATCCTCCCCTCTCACATGGTGTAACCGTAAACCAACTGTATATAAACTGAAGCTTAGGGATGAAATGCTTAAGATGCTTACGATAAAATGAAGCTAAGTGTCTGTCTGTATGATTTTTGGAACCACTTAGGACCAAACCCCCGACCAGAAAGACCGACTATGACTCTGGAGCTTCGTCAAGCGAAGCCTTGAAGCGTTTCGCTAACGCCAAGAGCATATCGTCAGACCAATACCACAACTTGGATAAGAATTCTGGATCTGATACTGTAAGCATACTTTGTAATTTGTTCATCCAAAAAAAATGAAAAGAAAAAGAAAAAGAGGTTTTCAGAGAATGTGGCATTTTGTGATGAATTCATTTTGCTGACCTCACTCCTCTCATCTTATTGGTGTGGTCAAGTGGTTTGATGGCTGTTCTCTCTAGGTTCGTGGTTCAAGTCTCGGCAGGGAAGAAATAGGACACAAGGCAATCCAGCCTCGATGTTCAAGTTCTGTACCTTTCTTATGATTTTTGCAGTTTTTTTTCTCCAAACTTTAAGAAATGCCTTGCTTATGTTTTCTGCTCTCAGTTAAAGCAACTTGATATCTAGGTTGGATTGTCCATAAATGTTGATGGTTTTGTTTATATGGTTTTGCTTTTTATTCTGAGAATGAAGTATTAGTTTTATTATTGCTTGAAAAATATATTTCGATTGCCCTTTTATTATGTACACACAACAAAGATGGCAGTAGATGACTAAATTGGCCCTATGGTTTGGGATTTTGAGAGGCCATTATGGAAAGTATAAAATGCAATGCAGCAAAATGCTGTGTGACTTTTAGGCAGAAAGGAGTCCTAATATTTACTGCTGTTACAATGACTGATAATAGACAAGTTTAGATATAATTTTTTTCAGTAAGCTTTTATGAGCTTTTTTAATAGACCATTCTCGTAATGTAATCAAATGCACAAAGCTTTTGTTAAGTGCCATGTTGCAAATTATTTCATTCACCTCTTATGACTTACTGTATTCCAATAGTCACAATGTAAATAGCATACCTTAAAGGTAAAGACCAGTATTGGAAACGCCCCAATTTCAAAAAATGAAATGGAAGCTCTCATTACCAATCATGTGAAAGAATATGTTTTGATTAATACATGATGATAAAAAATTTGCCAGGAAACCGCCTACTAATTCATATATTTGGTAAATTTGTTTCTCTCATGGTCTGTGAGAGATATAGGGTAGTCCCATATACATCTTTCTGTGTATAGTGCTTGTAACTTTACGAAGAATGGGCCAAATTTCTTATCATTTTGATGATTCCAGAACCTTGCAGATGCTAGATGCTAGATGATCAACCTTTTCTGATCGATTCCACAACGTTTCTTTCACAATGCAATCGCATGACCATAACTGGTCTTTACCTTTAATTGTTGCTAGATAGGACAAACATTATGGCTTATCCTACCTAACAACGCAGAATGTATGCAATTTGCATTCTGACTATTGAAATACAATTATTTGTAACATGTGAATGAAATGATGTGTAACAAGGCACTTAGCAAAGATTTGTGCATTAAATTTGATTACATTACGAAAATAGTCTATTTGAAACTAACAATTTATTAAGAAAATCCACTCCATACTTATCATGCATCATCAATGCACAATTACACAATCTTCAGAAAGATCATCCAATCACAATAATTAACAAAACTGCTTGATAATAATATTAGATTAAAAAGCACCTTTTCAGATTAGATACAGAGTGCATAAACAAGAAATACTTACAGACAAGTTAGATGCTTGTAAAGATATTACATTGTCTGATGCCTGCAGAATGTAGACTGTTTTTGTTGTCTATGTTGTGTATATTATATAGCCAAAATTAGACATGATTATGCAGTCACTTAGATGTGATGATCAACTATAAATGTGATTTTCAAATCAGATTTGGGCATAAAAGATCCATTCTTAGCATGGCTACAAAACAAAATGGAATTGGTTTATCCTAGGCTAGAAGCAATCTATTCATATTTTATGTTTACCTGTTGCAGTTGTCTTTCAGTATTCAGTGTGAGGGTTTTCATGTGTGGGCTTTTGCTAATGATCACATTCAGGCTCCTTCTCATATGCCATGGTAGAATGTGACTAATGGGGATGGAAACAAAGAATTGTGTGAAAGAGAAAATCATTTATGGGAGCCTTTGATAATTTTTTCGTTGAAGTTTAAGGAATGTTTATTTTTTGGTATTTGGGCAACCTCAAGGTATTAACTTTTTTGTTCAATGTCTCATACATAACCATGACGTATTATAAAAAATACTAAAATGGAAAATTTATCATCATATCATTGTCCTGCATATTTGGCCTGATACATCTATATATAGTAAGGCTATTAACTTCATGGTATTTCATGCAGTGATCAGATATACTATTACAAATCTTTTCAGCTTTCAAGAGTTAACCATCTCTTTGATCTAGTGCCTTCTCTTTTAATTGGGGAGTGTTTCAGAAAGAATAAGATCAACTTTGAGTTTGACTTAAATATGGCGGGCCGTTCATGCCACTGTTTGCTCTCACCATTTACGGGCTTTTGTCTCTCAAGAGACGTACAAATCATGGTCACAAATCTACAGAATTTTCTTTCTTTGATAGTTCTTTATCAAAGGGAAAGATATTATCTAAAGACCATAATTGTGAGATTAACCAGTGGCATTAATGGCCTTCCATAGTTAGTTCAACTTAAAGTCAATCTTGGTCTTTGTGAAACACTCCCCTGGTCCTCAGAAACCCCAATTTTTAGTCCATTGACTGATCTATTTTCTTTCTTTTTTTCTAACAGCATGAGGACCAGCAACGGGCTGCCCAGTTCGCGAACGCGAAATCCATATCAAGCGACGAATACTTCGGGAGGACAGCGGCGAGGGGGTCCACCGGAGCTGATCTGGGGGCCATAAAGGACGGGATGAAGGACGGCGTCAACCAAGTCGCCGGCAAACTGTCCCGCATGGCCAACGGACTTGTCAACTCTATACAGGTCAGTTTTTAACCCTTTCAGGGGGGCGTTTCACAAAACTTGTCATCAGTGACAAACGACAGTTTCTGTTATAAGCTACTGAAATCCTCGCTTGTGATTGGTTATTAGCAGTTTTGTCACTGATTTTTGTCATTTGTCATTGAAAAAAGGCTTTGTGAAACGGCCCCCAGGCCCAATTGCTCACATATTGTCCTTCAAATTGGCAGCGATATTTTCCTTTTATTGCTAATATGTTCCAATTAAATGTAATGTATCTGAAAATAATATACTTTATTCTTGGGCGGGAATGTTGTCGAAAAGTTGATTAATTTAAGGATTTTAAGGCTCATTTTCCTTGTTTTGCACAGCGACTGACAGACTGTGTCTGCAAACTAGTTTTGTGTTAGAACCACAGGGAATAATAATAGTCAATAATCAGTGGTTTATGTGATTGACTTAATATCTATGGGAAAATGGATTCTCTAACATCATTTAGTTTTAATTTTTTTGTTTCTTCTTATTTTTTTCAGGATCACTACGGTTATTGATGAAAACGTGTCTAGTCTACCCCCATCCAAGTGTCTTTGTAAGTCTCCTAGAGCCATCAAGAATTCAATCGAGACAGAACACGAGAAATGCTCATCAGGACACACGCAACTAGCCAAACTCTGAAACCAATCAGTTTTCCTGATATAATGAAGTAACTTATCAGCAACAAACGCCTTTAAGAGTTGTTCACTCCTGACCGATGTAAACTGAGAAATGCACAATAGGCCTGTCCTCATCAGCTCGAGATTGTCAAATATCTTGCTATTTGAACTATCCCGATCGCAAATTATCAAGTTATTTTGCGTCTTCATCAGCCCGAAGTTGCAATTAGTGGGATATTTGTTTGAGATAATTATCCTAAGATATCTTGGGCTAGTTAGCAAAATATCCCGCTATTTGTCTAGTGCGTTCTTCACCAGCCCAACGACTCGCACTATGCGTGAACGCTGAGCAAAATATCTGGAGCTAATTTCTCGAGCTCGAGTTTCAAGTTTCGAGGTCAAGTCTCGAGCTGATGAAGATGCGATTTGTAACTTCGGGATTATTTCCCAAATCTGAAATAGCGGGCTATTTGGCAATCTCGAGCTGATGAGGACAGGCCTTATGTCATTTCAATTTCCCATAGGGGATGTTTCTCAGGTGGTTAAACATGTCATGTGTGAATAAGGCTTTAGGACATTTGTTGCAGTGATTCTCACATCACACAAGTCTTGTTAAAAATTAGAGTTAATGCCTTACTGGCTCATAGCAAACAAATTGAAATGCCAAATCAAATGACCTTGTTTAAAAAAATGTGGTAAACTCTATTCAGAAACATGTTAATGCCAGGATCTATTACTGCCTGGCATCTACGTCAATTTGTCCTATTTTTGATAGTTATTTATTAAATTCATTTTAGGGTATTAAACTCATGTTCTTCCAAATCATTTGGATTTATCATATTTATGTCCTTTTGAAATCATGGTGAAGGGAATTTGTAGCAAACTTCCAATTTTTTTATTTGGACACCCTGTAATGAATTTCATCTTAAGACATGTCTTGAACTGTGAGGAAATAGTGCTCCTGTAACACCAGAAATTTCCATGACATGAAAATGTTACGAATTATAAATGACTTTGATTTTTTTCACGGCAAGAAACTGATGTGATCTGCAATCAGTGTTGTAGTGACAACATGCTATGTATAAAAGAAGCCACCACTATTATTATGATTATTTCACGGTATAAAATCTTCACCACTCACAAAATTTGTGAATAATTCATGCGCATAACAGTTTTTGGTGTTACAGTACAATACTTTTCCATTCGGTCTGTGATAGCTAGTAGATTGTACATTGGCATTTTTCCCCCTGATGATCAACAATTCTGAAGGAAAAAAAAGTCACATTGTGTATACATTCACTTTAAATAATGATGTAGTCCATCAATTTTATCATTTTGTATAATTTCCCATAGCCGACTGAGAGAGATAGTTGCGTCACTGTAAGTTGCCTCTGATTGGTCAGCCATTTCACGAAGCCACAAATAGTTCCCTACCATAGAGATTGTATGTGGGAGGGAGCCATTCAAAGCTCCTTGATTTCACCTCTGACCTTGATGCGTATGCATGTCGCAACCGTCTCTCTAAATATGCTATGGTATTTCCTTGCTTAAAGGTATTGTAGAGTACTGGTAAGGGGAAAAGAAAATATCCAAGACTACAATCGTCAGTCATCTCATTTGATACAGGTAAATGCAATGTTAAGAGAGATTGTATTTGAAATGATTCTGTATTTCAACGTTGAATAGCTTTTTACCTTATTTTTTGTTTTAAATTCAAACTCTTTTAATATGCCATCATTATTTACATGCACATCACTTTATGTGCATTATCAACTACCAGTAGTCAGAATAACTTTGACTTTTACCTGTATCTAACTTTACCTTTAAAGCCTATCTACTATGATAACCGAGTAATGACAGTAACTGTTATGTATAATGAAATTAGTGCACTACTAGGCGCAGGGGGCACTTTGTAATTATCTTCTGTTTTGTTTTTTTATTGTATGTTTGTAAATATATATCAAAAGAAAAACTTTTATCATTACTTGTAGCATAGAATTATTGTATCATGGCAATGTCTTTTTTTCTGATGTTGCAACATATGGCGCTCATTAATCCAATTAAGTGAAAAATGTTTCTGATGCATTGAGGCAGGGTCGCAGATGTGAATTGATAAAAAATGAATTCTTTAAAAAGGCAAAATTAGCTAATTATTTAAAGACATTCTTGTATTATTTTGTGTTTGTAAGGAGAGATGGTAGGTATATTCTAAAATGATCATAATTTATTATTGCACACATTAGGTTTATTGGCCATTATGTTACTATTCAAAGGTTACGTTAGAATATGGCAATCTGACAGTTGTCTTCAAGTTCAGACTCTATTTGACACTCAAACACAAATCCTTAAATGTTACGTTAGAATACCGGTATGGCAGTCTGACAGTAGTCTTCAAGTTCAGACTCTATTTGACACTCAAACACAAATCCATAAAGGTTACGTTAGAATATGGCACTATGACAGTAGTCTTCAAGTTCAGACTCTTTTTGACACTCAAGCACAAATCCATGATAAAGTCTTGAGCGGAGCCTGTCAGTCCCTGTATGTGTTGGGAGCAGATATAGTCTCGGTGCTCAGGCACTGTTATGCACTAAAACTAGCAATTGTTTATGCTTGTAAACTTATCCATCAATGGAGTAAATGTTCAGATGCTGAGATTTCAATCAATATTTAATGACATGTTAGATGTTATTGATCAACAGGGTTTGTTTTAGCTCATATCAATTAAAGACCTGCATATTGAAACAAAAATACCTTTGATTTTTACCATGTCATTATTTCAACATTAGTTGGGTACAAGTTAACATTTCATTTGATGAGTTTCCTTCCTGAATATTGATTTCTATTGGCCGTGGTGTATTTGTTTTCCCCATTCAAGATGTTTTCAGTTGGGCAATAAATAACCGACTGTTGTTACACCTATGTGCTTCCATTTTAAAGAGTTATGATGAACAAATATAATGTCATCATAATAGCAGAGGGAAATAAAAAATAATTTGCAAACAAATTCAAGTGAGAGAAACAACAACTCCAGATTTATGAATAAAGAGAGATGAGATTAACCAAAGATGACACCAAAAATAATTGATTTCCATCATTCAATTGAACGTTATTCACAGCTTACCTGTCTTATTAAAAAAGAAGCACAAGTTTTAATACACAGCTCTGTTTTCGTAATCCCAATCAGTCAAAGTTTCAGTATTAAATTAGACATTGAAAGCTGGACTGGGTATGAATCAATAAAATTCATTTTGTGTATTTCTTTGTTTACTCGATAATTCTGTAATGGCATTTTTCATGTAGTGTTTAAATTCTTTTTGTGCATATTTTTTGTCCTTGGAAATATTCCTCTTCTGTTTTGTTGAAGGTAGACAGTAATAAAATTACAATTAATAATTTGATTTTAGGGAGTGATTGTTTTCTGAGTTTTTACACATGGAAGTGCCTTCTTTCTCATGATATTTGTTGATCGTGCATGATATGTGGATTACTCATTTGTGACATTCCTTAGTCGTATTCATGCATTATTTTGCCAAACTTGGGTAAATTAGCATTTTTTAGGGAGGAAATTGTGTATGACTTTAACCTAAAGCTAAGAAGATGTATCGAACCAAAATGCCACCTGACATCTTATTGTACATGTATGTTAAACAATAGGTGATTTGTCTCGTGTATCTTAATGCAAACTTGTTGATCTCTGTAGGACTGCAATAGAAAACATGTAAAACGTGATGCCATAATCATGAATATTCCAAGGATTTGGACATTTTTACACCAAATTTATGATGAATCGGAAATGCAACTTCAAAATATTTTGAGGACCAAGTTAAAAGCCACCTCATCTTAAACAGTTCAGTTTGTGATATGTTTAGTTCAGTGTTCCTTCGGTTTAGTTGGCATGTATGGAAGAAAAAATATACCACTGCAGAAATTAGTTTTTCTTATGCAAACTGGTACGTGGAAGACAATTTGAAAGTATTATCTGTATTTGAGTGTTTGAAAATAGAATGCACAAATGTTATGTAAATGTAATCATAATTGTAGGTTTTGTTTATATCTGCCCAGTAGTGTGCCTGACATTGCCACATTTTGTCATTCTTAGCAATTTCCAAACAGTCGTGAATTTTGAAAACTGGTTCATTTTAGAAAACACTAGAAAAATTGCCTGTTTTGTCATCAGTTGCATTTGTATTCTATTTCCATTCAGAATCTCAAAAATGCATGTACAGTGAAACCTGTCTATAAAGACCACCTAAGGGACACATGAAAGGTGGTCTTTATGTACAGGTTCCTTTAGTACATGTTTCAATGAGAAACCATTTTAAAGAGAAACAAAAGAATGTGGTCTTTGTAGACAGGTGGTCACTAAAGCAGGTTTGACTGTATAAAGAAGAGGATAATTTCCCCACTAGTAGCATTTATTTGTTCATTGATCAAATTTAAAATACTTTTTTTTTTCTCTGCCCCTCTCTTATCTTATTTTATAATTCTAGAAAACATTTGGCATTATGATTGTATCATTCCAAGCACTTGCATTGGGAATTTGATGGGAAATTCCTAATCATTTCCAGTTCAGTCAGGTCAGGTGCTTGGGGGGGGGGGATGAAAAATGGAAAAGAAAATACTCTTTTCCCTTTTACCATTGATATTAACATGATGCCATTTTTTTAAGTATCCAGTATAGACGCAGTATAAATAAATTAAAAAGTTATATGAACATATTCTCTGGTATTGTATTGACTACATTAATGTAAATAAAATCCTTAAACAACAAGTATAATGCATTATGTGTCTCTTTTACATTGATGTCTGTTATTACCTAGAAGAGAAATGGGGACCTGGTAGGATGATGAAAGCATTTGTGTTAGTAATTGCCATATGCCCTCACTGTGACCATATGTTGGGAATACTCCCCAGGGAGTGGAGATGGTGTACATTGTACGTAGCCATACCACTGACGCATGTACCGGAGTAATTAAGACACAGGGATGCCAATTAGAATTGATCAGAGGGCCTGAAAATCACCTAGAATGAGCAATTTTGTACACAAAATAAACTAAATTATGGCCTGAAAATAAATCGCCAAGGCCTTGATTCAGGCTTTTGCCTGAAAACTGGCATCCCTGAAGACATCATACAATGGCTTGGATGACGGTCAGTATGTTAGCCTCCTTCTTTGGGTGTTGGATGCCTTATTAAGCCACCAGCAGTTTTATCTG